GGATTAATGTCACAAGTGGGATACCTCAGGGCTCAGTCTTAGGACCTTTACATCAATGACATAGATGAAGGGATAGTCAATAAATTTCTTAAATTTGCAGATGATATTAAGGTCTTGGGCGTTGATAGCTGTGAAGAGGATGCTGCTGATTTACAAAAGGATTTAGATCATTTAGTGAGTTGGGCAAATAAATGGCAGATGGGTTTTAATTATAATAAATGCAAGATAATGTATGTCAGTTATCATAATTTGAATTATAAGTATAATTTGGCATAGCGGTTCATACAACGGCTCTAATTTTTTTTTTTCAAGTACAAACATATCTTGACAGATTTGAGATCTGATTACAGATTTGGACTCAGGAGGTCAAACCCTTATAATCGACGCATTTGACCACACCCAAGATGTAATAGATTAATTTACTCTAGTCCTGCCTAACAGAATTTCAATTTAAGGGTAGGCTGGTAAAGATCCTGATGAGTAATAAAATTGAATAGGGTATACACGCGCCCCACTCTAGGCGCACATAAATATAGCTAATAAAAAGGGAACCAAAGGCATCATAGATTAATTTACTCTAATCTGCCTAAAAAAATCTCAAGTGCTGCAGCTATTGAGGATTCTCTCTTGTTTAAATATAAGAATCTGATTTATCTTTAAATGGTGCCTACTGACGTTTTCACATGGTGATTATCAAATTGATGTTCTTATTTACGTGTTTATTTTAGCTTATGTGGCAAGCATGAGTGACGTTATTCAGAGCGATTTGATAAAAAAACTTATAATATTCAATCTTTGTGTTCAACTTTGCTCAGAAAGCTGCTTACTACCAGTGTTAGACTCGGGAATGGACAGCGATGGAAACTGTCTACACGTTCGTTTTAACTTTTGTTTGTTTGTTTGTTGTTAAGCACAAAGCGACACAACAGACTCACGGCTAAGCCACTGGGGTAGGGAGAGAGGACACACTGTTTTTAAAGAAACACCACTTTTCGTACGCCCATCATCTGTCTTGAACAGTGGTTTTGGAAGGTTTGAATTTGCCGTTTTGTCTTGTTGGATAACCTTAAACAGTGTAATTAATATTTTCCGTAGGAGTCTAATCCTGCTTATTACAATCTGTGGGAATGACCCGTACTTTTAGTCCATGTGTCACTCACATGGACTAAAAGTACGGGTCATGCAGTATTAATTGTACGGTATCTTCAATGTTAGCGACACCTTATGTGACACATGGACTAAAAGTACGGGTCATGCCGTATTAATTGCACGGTATCTTCAATGTTAGCGACACCTTATGTGATAAGGTGTCGCCAACATTGAAGATACCGTACAATTACTACAGCAACTTATGTTTTACTAAACATCAAAAACGTACATCCTATAATAATATGATAAATATGATGAACATAAATTCACGCCTCTAAAACACAAAAGTCGATGGTACGTGTACTGTTAAACCCCCAAGCAGACATCCGAGGTGCGCATAGCACAGATAGTCCATTGTGTACTTAACAACAAACAGACAAACTGTCTTTTATAAGCTGACTTACATCA